TGGCTATTAAGTAACCCACGAAACGCCGGGCGCGTGTGCGCTAATAGCCTCAAGAAAGAGGTCATGTCATGCGCCTCTGGCACATGACTCATGGCACAGACGAACCATTCTAGGCTCTCAGTGTTACCACCGACCCGACCTGCTACTCACAGGCTATGGGGCATCCAGAGTAGCGAGAGGCCATGGATCAGGAGTTTAATGCGCTTCTCCACAACAGCACATGGCGGTTAGTCCCTGCTGAGCCAAATATGAATGTCATTGGGTGCAAATGGGTCTTCCGCACCAAACGCACTGCAGATGGTAAGGTTGAGTGATATAAGGCCAGGCTGGTTGCCAAAGGGTTTAACCAGGTAGCAGGTGAAGATTTCTTTGACACGTTCAGTTCGGTGGTCAAACCCACGACTGTACGCCTACTGTTATCTATTGCTGTATCCCGGGGCTGGGTCTTACAACAGTTGGACGTTCACAATGCCTTTCTGAATGGGCATATGTCTGAAACTGTTTATATGAAGCAACCACCAGGATACGAGGACCCCACTCATCCTGGGCATGTTTGCCATCTCCAGCGTTCTCTCTATGGGCTCAAACAAGCCCCTCGAGCCTGGTTCAAAAGGTTGCATGACTACCTACTTATTGCTAGTTTTTTGTCCTCTAAAACTGATGTCTCACTTTTTCACTACTCAGCTGGTCAGTCACGGGTCTTTTTACTCATGTATGTGGATGACATCATTATTATGATGGGCGATGGCGCGGCTTTGATCGACACTATTCTTCATCGACTTTTAGCTACTTTCAAGATTCGAGACCTAGGTGCTCCCAGCTTCTTCCTTTGGCATTGAGACACTCAAAGATAACAATGGGGTCCTACTCTCGCAACGCCGGTACATGGGGGATCTATTGAACAGGGCAAGAATGACTGATTGTAAATCTCTGGCTACTCCTGCTGCCGTTAGTCAACCGGTTGCGACTTCTGACCAACCATATGACAACCCCACTCAGTACAGACGCCTAGTTGGGGCACTACAGTATCTCACCATCACCCGTCCGGACCTCTCCTATTCAGTTAACCGGCTATGTCAATTTATGCACTCTCCGACAATTGATCACTAGGCTCTGCTGAAACGTGTGTTACGGTATATCAAAGGCACGCTGCACTTAGGCCTCCGTCTGACCGCCCCGGACTCCACTGCAGTTCACGCCTTTTCGGATTCGGACTGGGCCGATTGTCAAGTGGACAGAAAGAGTACCAGTGGATACGCCGTCTTTTGGGCTCTAACCTCATTTCTTGGCTCTCCAGGAAGCAACGTACGGTGGCCCACTCTTCTACTGAAGCGGAGTATAAGGCCTTAGCCGATGTTTCAGCCGAGGTTACTTGGGTTGTCTCTCTTCTACGAGAACTGGGGTTACATTCTGGTGAACCAGCGACTCGGTGGTGTGATAACTTGGGGGCTACCTATCTCTGTGCCAATCCGGTGTTCCATGCCAAGACTAAGCACATTGAAATTGATTTTCACTTCGTTCGTGACAAGGTTGCCTCTGGCAAGTTCCGAGTCAATTTTGTGTCTACCAAAGATCAGATAGCAGACATTCTCACTAAACTGTTGCCAGGCCCGCGGTTTGCTGCTCTTCGTGACAAGCTTAATGTTGTTCCACACCCACCTTAAGCTTTAGGGGGTGTGTTAGTATTATTGTTATTGTTATTATTATTTCCCTTGTTATTCTAGTGGTTGTGGCTTAGTCTTATGTTACTAGCCTATTAGTTAGGAGTTGTTTACGTTAGTTCTATCTCTTTGTATTGTAATCCTCTTCTGATGTAATTTGTTTTGTTGAATCACAATCTCATCATGTGACCCCAAATCCTTCCCTTTTAGAAATATTCTGAACTGAAATTCCCATACAACCAATATCATCAATCATACATTTAAAGCATAAGAACACAAACACAATCCAATCCCAATCCAAATCCTAGAATTCTAGCAATTCATCATCATCAATAGATAAACAACATACAAATTTGATATGAAATATGAACAAAGAGAAGAAATGTTACCCAAGTCTTCAACCTTTGGTGTTGAAATCCATAGGCAATGTAAAACAATGAATTGTAGGTTTGGAATGTAAATCTAATCTAATAAAATGAAAAGAAAAGATAAAACCTAATCTAAGAGCGCTGATTTGAAAGGTGGGGAAATGGGAAAAAGAGTTCTCCTAAAATGATCCCCTTACAAGCCTTTAAATAGGCTTAAAATCTGAAATTTCATTTTAAGTGTCCCGTCCACGCATGTTGTAAGTCTCGTTGTGAGCTGTGTGGAACTTTCTGGAATTTTTGCCCAAAATGAGAGGTGTAGCCCTTGAGAAGCCCGAACCATAGCCAGGCCACTTGAATTACCTTATTTGGACACTTCTAGCTCAAGATATGATCAATTTACCAAACTGTCGCCGAAATGTCCTGAAATGACAATGTTTTGCTATTTTTCTACGAATGCAATAGAATTAGTCATTAATCCTAATTTCTATCAAATTAAGCTATTTAAGCATGAATTAGGAACAAAGGACTCCCATTATAGCACAATTTGCCTATTAAACACCCTACAAAACATAGCATAATTAGCACTTATCAAGGGGGATTGGTAGTGTCACAAGAGTGGGACAACCCCCGTGTTTTGATTCGGCCTGGCATTAGATCACGAGAGTGGCGTGTTAGTACACCGAATTTGTGTTGGAAATCTTTGAACCCGAAGTTAAGTTTCAAGTCCCTTAATCCTTTGTAGTAGCATAAAATCAATATAGGTTCATTCTAATCCCTACTTTTATATATTTCATTGCATTTCACTATTGCCCTACTATCATTTATCTATTTGTTTAGCTTCCAATGAATGTTTCATTCTTGTGTCTAGTGATTTCATTGGTTAGACCAAACTCAAATCCATGAGGACGATTTTAACCAAATTTATTTTTGTTTGTTCCGCAATTCACTATATTGCACTACAATCACTTTGCTAACTAGACTGCGCTAAATTTCCATAATCTTACATTTGATAGAAAAGAATAAATCCTAATGATCTCATGGTACATATTGATCGCGAGAAATGATAAGAGTTTGGCAGCAAAAGGGAAATTTGACAGTAATGGTTGTGGAAAGGGACAAAACTCATCTAAATGAATGGAGACAAGCTCAAGCGAAGAATGCGTACAGTCCTGCTACAAACTCTGGTTTTGTTGTAAAATGGGACAAATCCCAGTAGGGTGTTTAAAGCTTAAGGTGGATGTTGCACTTAATGAGGTAGAAATATCCACAGTTTTTGTTGGGTTCAGAGAGATGACATGGGAGGGTTCTTGGATGCAAGGAATGACTTTTGGAAGGGTTTGTTTTCTCCTAAGGAAGCTGATGTAATGTCTGTTCGGAAAACCTTAACTTGTTTAATGGTCAAAGGCTTGGATAACGTTTTTGTAGAGATACACTTTGCTGATTATTCAGGGTTTGATCAAATCCATGCCCGGGGACTCTTCTTTTGATCTAATTCTTCTAGATATTGAAGATTTTTTAGCTCAATTTTAAAACACTTGTATCTCTTTTGTCAAGCGATCAACAAATAGGGTTGCCCACATGTTAGCTATGAAATCCTTTTCTAGCTCTGATTGTCGGGAGTGAATGTTTTTCCCTTCTCTTTTCATTTTTATTGATCTTATGTTGGATTGATTAGAGAAACATTTGTTATTCAGTTTCAACAGAACAGAGATACAGGAGAGTATATGAAACTATGCCACTATTATCTCCTATCTAATAGCCTAGTCAAATAAGACTTATTCTAATACATAATATAACTAGACTTAGGATTACAAATAATAATAACAAATAATAACATTACTAACACACCCCCTCAAGCACAAGGTAGGTGAGAAACCACATTGAGCTTGAACCGTAGCGCTGTAAAACGCGGTCCTGGTAGCGGTTTGGTGAAGACATCTACGAGCTGATCCTTAGTTGAAACATAGTTGACAATGAATTCCCCGGTTGCAACCTTGTCCCGGACAAAGTGATAGTCGATCTCAACATGCTTCGTCCGTGCGTGGAAAACTGGATTGGTACAAAGATACGTGGCACCCAAGTTGTCACACCAAATGCTGGAAGGTTGACTGTCATGCAGACCTAGCTCACGAAGCAAAGACACAACCCAGGTCACCTCAGCCGCAACGTCGGCTAAGACTTTATATTCAGCTTCGGTAGACGAGCGAGCTACGGTGCGTTGCTTCCTGGACTGCCAAGAGATGAGATTATCCCCAAGAAACACCGCGTAACCACTAGTGCTCTTCCTGTCTTTAGGACAGCCGGCCCAGTCAGAATCCGAGTAGGCATGTATAGTAGTAGTCGGTGAAGCCGAGATTCTCAATCCATACGCAAGAGTACCCTTGATATAGCGCAATACACGCTTAGCCAAGGCCCAATGATCCATAGTCGGTGCATGCATGAACTGACACAATCGGTTGACTGAGAAGGAGAGGTCTGGACGCCTGATAGTCAGATACTGAAGCGCCCCTACTATCCGACGATACTGTGTGAGATTGTCGAACGGTTCATCTGACGCGGTAACTGGTTTAGTGACGGCAGCTGGAGTAGTGAGTGGCTTGCAATCAGACATCCCAGCACGTCCGAGGAGATCTGTCATGTAACGCCGCTGAGATAGAACTATACCACCTTTAGTATCAACTGTCTCGATGCCCAAGAAGAAACTCGGTTTGCCTAGGTCCCGAATTTTAAAGGTAGTTGCCAGACGAGTCAGCAGAGTATCTACAGCTCTTGCATCGTGCCCCATTACAATGATATCATCTACATAGACTAGTAGATAAACTTTTGAGGCGCCAGAAGTGGTGTAGAAGAGGGACACATCTGTTTTGGACGATGAAAAACCTGCAGATATTAAGAAATCGTGAAGCCGCTTGAACCACGCCCTGGGTGCCTGTTTAAGGTCATAGAGCGAGCGTTGCAAGTAGCAAACATGGCCAGGGTGAGTCGGGTCTTCATACCCTGGTGGCTGCTTCATGTATACAATCTCAGCCAAGTGGCCATTTAGAAAGGCGTTGTGAACATCTAACTGACGTAGAGTCCACTTGCGGGAGACGGAAAGGGAGAACAGGATTCGAACCGTAGTGGGTTTCACCACTGGGCTAAAAGTGTCGAAAAAATCCTCCCCGGCCACTTGGTTAAAGCCTTTGGCCACAAGACGGGCTTTGTAGCGTTCAATCGAGCCGTCAGCGGTGCGTTTGGTGCGGAACACCCATTTGCATCCAATGATATTCATATTAGGCTCCGGTGGAACAAGTTTCCAAGTATTATTGTGGAGCAGGGCATTGAATTCCTGGTCCATAGCATCCCGCCATTGCGGATGCCCAACCGCTTGAGAATAGCACGTCGGATCTACCGACGCGGTAAGAGCCTGAAAAACCTCGGGAGCGACTCTAGTCATGTGCCGGAGACGCATGACATGCCCTTGGTCTGGTGGATGTACCCGAGTGCGTTTCCGAGCCCGAGGTGGTGCGGTGTGAGTGATGGCCAAGCAAGGAGGTTCCTGAGCAATCGGGACCGCCTCAGTCACAGGAGAAGGCCCGGGTTCACAAACAGGAGCTTGTAGCAGCGGAACAATAGGACCAGAAGCCCATGGCAAAGGAGTGGGCGACGGGACCTGCTGCATTGTACCTGTATTAAAAGGGAACACACATTCGTCAAACCGCACATGGCGGCAGATATAGGTTTTCCCACTAGATAGATCCATACATCTGTACCCCCTATAGGACGGTGGGTAACCTAGGAAGATACAAGGGGTGGAGCGGTATTCTATCTTGTGCCGATTGTAAGGCCGAAGATAGGGATAACACTGACACCCGAAGACACGAAGGAACTGATATGGAGGTGGCTTTTTGTAGAGACGTGAGTACAGGCTATCAAAATTTAGAACTTTGGTTGGAAGATAATTGATTAGGCAAGTGGCAGTTTCAAAAGCAAAGTCCCAATATTGTTGCGGGACGTTGCCTTGGGCAAGGAGAGCCAACCCGGTTTCCACAATATGGCGGTTACGGCGTTCAACTCTCCCTTTCTGTTCGTGCGTGTACGCACACGACTGCCTGTGATTAATACCTAGAGATTGGAACGTGACACTTAATTTGCGGTATTCACCCCCTAGGTCGGATTGAATAGACTTGATAGAGCGCGAAAATTGCCGCTCTACTAACACACGAAAAATGTCAAAAACTTTATAAATGTCTGATTTTACCCGTAATGGATAAAACCAGCAGAAACGAGTGAAATCGTCAACAAATAATACAAAGTATCTAAAACCACTAAACGACACTACAGGTGCAGGACCCCATATATCTGTATAAAGCAAGTCTAGTACATTTTGGCTTGAACTTTGAATATTTTCGAGTTTAAAACGTGATGACTTGCCGAGATGGCAAGCCTTACATGACTCAATATTTTTGACATTATTTGACTCAACCGGGCAGCTTTGGAGAATTTTATTTTGAACCACGGTATGCGGATGATCGAGCCTGCGATGCCAGACTTCGGGCGTTGCACGAGAGGTGACAAAAGCAAACTGACTCCGGGACACAGGAAGCTTGTACAGACCGCCAGCTGTAGACCCCTTAAGAAGTATGGCCTTGGTTTTGGAATCCTTCACAAAGAAACAATTGTTATGAAACTCAAAATAAACCGCATTATCACTAGTGAATTTTTGCACAGATAATAACGGGACAGTTAATGAAGGAACATGTAAAACGTTTGACAGGAATAAGTGTTTAGATTTTGATGGGATAGATGTATGGCCTATTTGTGAGATCGCCAAACCTGCCCCGTTTCCAACTCTGAGAGTGTCAGCACCCTCATAGTCCTCCGAGTGTGTTAACATCCCGGCATCCGGTGTGGCATGCGCGGTAGCGCCCGTATCGGGATACCATGCATCGGCCAGTGGTACAGGGCTCGCAGGTACATCTCCCGAAACAGCTACATTTGCCTGCGCCGGGGGTTGAGTGGTATACCGTTTATAACAGTAAACTGCGGTATGCCCCTGAGCCCGACAAATCTGACATCGTGGAGGTCCCCGGCCACCACGACCTCGGCGTCCACCACTGCCCGACGCGCCGTGGTTACCGTGCACGCCGCCTTGCCCTGCGCGTCCACGTCCTGCGTACATGGCTGCATGTGACGCTGCTGGAACACCATCGCCAACCTGCAGGTAGTCATCGGCCAAAATAAAATCTACGGCCTGTAAATAATCCGCTAATTGCGGCAGGGAAATCGGCGTGTTGGCGGTGAGAGATGCAGCATAGGCGCGATACTCCGGGCGAAGTCCGCGTAGAACATATAAGTTCTGTTTGCGAAGAGAGAGGGGCTGCCCAGCCTGTGCGAGAGCTTCCACGAGTAATTCGGCCCTGCCGAGATATTCTGATGTCGGCGTGCCTCCTTGCCGCAAGGACTGAAACTGCCCGAGCAAGCTCAGACATCTTGCTTGGGTACTGGAACCGAGAGCTGTGCAGATGGATTGCCATACTTCTGCAGCTGTGTTGCGCCCAACAGCCAGGTGAAGAACCTCGTCAGACATTGACGAGATAAGAAGAGAAAGGATCGACTGATCCTGTTGAACCCAGGCTTTGTGCGCCGGATTCGGGGTTGGAGTCGCTGTTGTCGTGCCGGAATCGGAGGTCCCAGTCGGTGGAGAAACAACGGTAGGAGGCGGGCACAGTGAGGTACCATCCACAAAGCCGAGCAGGTCCTGTCCGCGAAGAAACGGAATAAGCTGGGTGCGCCAGAATAAAAAGTTTCGGGACGTCAACTTCATAGAGATGAAGTGATGAGCGCCCGTAAGGGAATTGTTACCAGACGAGGATGAGCCACCGCCGGCGGAAATTGTTCTCTCGGAGGAATTGGATGACATTTGCGGTGGTGGTGGGAGTTTTGCGGTGGTTTTGTCGAAAACAGAGAGAGAGAATGGATCGACGTTTGGCTGATACCAGATTAGAGAAACATTTGTTATTCAGTTTCAACAGAACAGATATACAGGAGAGTATATGAAACTATGCCACTATTATCTCCTATCTAATAGCCTAGTCAAATAAGACTTATTCTAATACATAATATAACTAGACTTAGGATTACAAATAATAATAACAAATAATAACATTACTAACAGGATTGTAGTGAATGAATGGCTCTTTTTTTTTTCAAAAAAAAAAAAAAATCATGTTAGTGAAGGAAAATAACAATTAAAAAAAATTACGGTATATTATTTAAAGAATCATTAGTATATAGATCTTCATAGATATACAAATTATTAAGCATATTTTTATTAATTTTTTACTTATTTTATTTCCTCGCAACGGCCCTACTTCTCGTATAACAGCACTTAAAAAACACAAATAAATTATTCCATTTAATTTATTTTTAAAAGAAAAATAGCATGCACATACCAATAGTGCCTTTTGGCTAAACTTGATGATGCTACTAAGTGGAGAAGAATTTGATTAGAATTACAATTCTTTTTGCGACCCGGCCCGATCCCCACCATCTATATAAAGTCCAAACCCATTACCACCCCCATAACTCCATCTTTAGCCAATAACATTCTTACCCAACTCACGACCTACTAATCAAACATTAAATATATAACTAATGCCTTTTTAACTTCGTCCATGACGGATACCGTGATGTTTACTAGGTTCATTTTATATCATTATTTAATATTTATAAATATATAGGAATATGTTCTGGTACGGAAATGCTCCAGGTGAAAAATGGGATTAGATCTGAACTGTTGATCAAAGATAGATGAACAGCTCAAATTAATGATTTTTTTTTTTAAAAAAAAAACACGCGCCTGGCATTCATTTTCTTCATATTTACTCCAAAGATAACAACTCCACCCTTTGTTATTATATTGCTATCAATTTTGTTTTCTTTTGAATTAGATCATTTTGAACTTCGGAACCAAAACTGAAAAAATTCAATGTACTATTGAATGAAAAAAAAAAAAAAAACCTGTAAAAATGGCGCACCTTAAGAAGAAAAACAATGCACCTAAAGCTTTAGACTGACACACCTTAAGAAAGAGAACAACGCACCTTAAGAAGAAAAACCACGCACCTAAAGCTTTAGGCCGACGCACCTTAAGTTTCAACAACTGACGCACCTTAAGCACACAAACAACACACCTCAAAAAAGGAAAACAACGCACCTTAAGAAGGAAAAACCACGCACCTAAAGTTTTAGGCCGACGCACCTTAAGTTTCAACAACTAACATACCTTAAGCACACAATCCACGCACCTTAAGAAGGAAAATCACGCACTTAAAGCTATAGAATAACGCACTTAAAGCTATACACTAACGCACTTAAGTTTCAACAACTGACGCACCTTAAGCACACAACACAAAAACCACGCACCTTAAGAAATAAAATCACACACTTTAAATTTGACCAAGATGCCAAATTACCACCGCGTTTTTTTAAAAAATTTTGTTAATCTTGGACGTTGATCTTGCCAAGATCAATGGCTCTCAACTCACCCATGGGAATCCATATATAGTAAGGTTCAAATGCGACGGTATCTTACGGTGCGGCGTCACCAATATTTCAACAAATATACATCATCAACGTTAGGAAAATACACCACATAAACACACACAAATTAGGTAATTAAGCATCACCAAAAACACACCATTAGGTATGAGTAAAAACACCATACAGTGGGGGTGGTGAGTTATATGGTGCATTTTTTTTGGATCTGTTGTGTATTTTTTTATTTTTTATTTTGCATTTCATTATAGTGTGTTTCCCTTACACTGTTAGTGCATGTTGTTAATATTGTTGGTGTATTATGAAATTCAGTCTCATCGCCGCACCTAAAGTCCTTGCCGCATTTGAAAACTTTCCAATATATATATATATATATATATATATATATATATATATATATATATATATTCAATTTCAAATACGAATTAACTTCGTCAGGGCTGGCACTATCCATCATTGAAAGTGAACGAATATTTTATATACTTAGAAATGATTGGGTATGTGACAATACTAATTAAAGTTAAAAATTATCACATGTCAATCACATGAGAATTTATTTTTATTCTCAATTTTAATAAAGTTTTTGTTAGGATTAACCGCTTACCACAATGTCAAAATTTATAACCTATAGTAAAAGTTCAATTTTTATTTCTTTATAGACTGCCTTCACATTTTCGCGAAGTAGGTGTTGAATCACCAACTCCCGTCAAACAATCTCTCTAGTCACATACTGCTTGACTTGGTCCTTAGGGGCATCAACTCAACACTTTGACTTTGGTATCAAGTCGTCAAATCTTGGAATTTACAGTTAGCTAGAATGCGTACATACACTATATATATGTGTGTGAATTGCACATTTCCACTCCCATTAGACTCTCTCAGTCATAAACCTCAGTGAAATCCTTTAGCTCCTCTTCCTCTTCACCACATTGACATTCATATAGTGTTCGATATCAGATATCAGCACATTTATCTACATCTATATCTATATCTATCTACATATATACACACACACCACCCACCCCCATCTTGGAGGCGCCTGCTGGTTATGTGCTATCTGCCCCGCAGCCTTCGCTCAAACACTTACTCACCAATTCAGGGCTTTCCTTGATTAATTAGCTCATTCTCCCAGTTTCTCAATCTCTCTTCTGGATAACATTTCATACTTATCCCCTCCCAAAATCCTTCCATCTCTCTCTTCTGAATATACATCACTGGCTGGAATTGTTTTGTTTTCACCTGATGGGTTTCTTCAATTGTGGCCTTCTTTCGCATGCTTCAAACGTGGGTAAATAGTTGGGGGAATATTAATATATATAGTCGATATATATTGGTTTCTGCGCTGGGAAGGGAAGAAGTTAATTGTGTTGATATCTATGGACTATTTGAGAGAACTGGAAGGTAAGAGAGCTCATGATCATCGGTATAATAGTAAGATGATGAGTAAGAAGGCGTGCGTATGGGTGCCGGGGCCGATCATAGTGGGGGCGGGGCCGTCGGGGCTGGCGGCGGCGGCGTGTTTGAAGGAGAAAGGGGTGGCGCCGGCGGTGGTGCTGGAGAGATCCAATTGCATAGCCTCTTTGTGGCAGCTCAAAACCTACAGCCGCCTCTGCCTCCACCTCCCAAAACAATTCTGCGAGCTCCCACTCATGCCCTTCCGGCCAACTCTCCCGACGTACCCGACCAAACAAGACTTCATTCAGTACCTAGAGGACTACGCCGACCGGTTCGACATCCGGCCGGTTTTCAACACCACCGTCCGGTCAGCCGAGTTCGACCGGAGCGTCGGGTTTTGGCGGGTGAAGACGACGAAAAGAACGACGGGAAATAATAAAGACGAAGTAGAAGAGGAAACAGAAGTTGAGTACATCTCCCGGTGGGTGATCGCGGCGACTGGGGAGAATGCGGAGGCGGTGATTCCGGCGATCGACGGAATGGAGGAGTTTTCCGGGCAGATTATCCACACGAGTTTGTACAAAAGCGGGGATGTTTTTAGGGGAAAGAGGGTTTTGGTGGTTGGGTGTGGGAATTCGGGAATGGAGGTGTGTTTGGATCTCTGCAATCATAATGCCACCCCTTCACTAGTGGTCCGAGATACAGTAAGAACATAAAAAACCCTATTTTCTTTTCTTTTTTTTTTCTTTTTTTTTTTTTCAAAAAAAAAAAAGATCACATCATTTACTGTATATGATCCTAAAAAGCAAATCCATTACAAGCTTTTGTTTATGTTTTTTTGTCCCTTCAACCTTTGAATTTGAAGGATTTTTTCAAACCAAAAAAAAAAAAATCTCCCATTTCTAACTTTCTTTTCACTGTATCATAGTATGTGTAAAGTTGGGTTTTACGATAATACCCGATTTGGTCTTTCGACTATTAGAATTTCACCACTTTGATTCTCAAATTTTAAATTTGCTCAAGTTCATTTTTAACTGTGCAATTTTGACCTAAAATAGTCTTTGGTTTAAGATTATTTTTTGATGACCATTTTGGTTAATAATTGCATAGTTAGGGATGAAATTGAGCAAGTTTAAAAATCGATCATTAAATTAAAGTGGTAAAATCCTAATAATTGAGGGACCATATGAGTATTAACTCTTTAATAAAATTACAATATTATTTTAAATTTCATCCCTTTTACCCCACTAATTCAAGAAAACACTAGTCATGTTAATATCTTTTAATTTGTTTTTTGTTTTTTTTTTGGTTTTTTTTTTTTTTTTACTGAATTTTTTTGAAGGTGAGTTATGGGTGTGTAGTGAGTTCAAGTTCCAATAGTAATTAGTTTTGAAAATGGGTGAATTATATTTTAACAATAGTATGCTTTTTTTGGCATGGTAATATAATCCATTCAGCTTATATACAATGAACTAGTATTATGATTAGTGTGGTATCTTTGCTGTAATTTTTCACTTTCTTGGAACTCCCAAGCATGCGCAAACAGGATTTGCCCACAAATTTTATTTATTTATTTATATTATTATATATTCATTTGCCTGTTTATGTACATCACCCCACGAAAAGTATGATTAGATATTATATTATTATTATGAATACAAATAAATAAAGAGTTTTCGTTTCTGAGATGTAAAATGGTGTCTAAATACTGTAAAAAGAAATTGCGATATCAACTACTAGCTGGGGAGTTTAAAAACCAGTAAAACCCACACTGTAAAGACTGCCTTTTTAGCATTAAAAAGCTAAAAGAAAAAGGAAAAAGCAAATGCAGTTATGGCCCCTGGTGAAAAAAGGGGCAGCCAAAAACCATCACCTCCATAATGGCAAGTTGATGATGCCCTTTGTGTTTCTGCTCCCACCAAATTTCACTTTTTTAGCCTTTTCCCCTCATATATATATATATATATATATATATATATATATATATATATATATATATATATATATATATATATATGTTTTAAATCCTTTTTTTAAAACAAATTATTTTTTGTCAAGCACTTGTGAACTCCCATATGGGAGGCTGTGAGTTCGAGCTTTAGTATGGGGTATTGTGAGTTCGAGCCTTAGTGGAGGCATTATTAGCTCTTTGTGCTTCAGTTGGTTGAGAAAGTAATAAACAGATACTACATTGTAATAGAGTCAGCGCAGCATCCAAAAAAACAAATTATTATTATTTTTTTTTGGAAAAAATATTTATAATCTTTTACCTTTTTTAATTAGGTGCACATCCTACCACGAGAGATGCTGGGAAGATCAACTTTCGGGTTGTCCATGTGGTTACTGAAGTGGTTACCCATGCGACTTGTCGACCGGTTCTTGTTGGCCGTTTCCTGGCTAATGCTCGGCGACACGGCGCAGTTCGGGCTGGACCGCCCGCGGATGGGCCCGCTCGAGCTCAAGAACCTCTCCGGGAAGACGCCGGTCCTCGACGTCGGAACACTGGCCAAGATCAAAAGTGGAGACATCAAGGTACAATACCTAATTTGCAAAATATCAAATCAATTCTCATTCTTTTTCTTTCTCCCTTTACTTTCTTTTCGATCACTTTTTTTTTTTTTTTTCTCTTTGAAATGTAAAATCGTTACAATATTTAACTGAATTGACAATTATTATATATATATATATAATCCTTGAAGGAAATACTCCCCTTTTATTCTCTTTTAAGGAGGCACTAAATCTTCTTTCTTTTCACTTTTGTTATGCCCATTTTTAGTGTCTTTTAGTTCCTATCACATGATCTTTCTTAGTCATCCTCAATCATTGCAAATATATTGCACTCGCAGCAGCATATCAAGCTTTTTACTAGTTTTGCCTAAACAAATCACTAACTCAAGAAAACATTAACCCAAGATTTTTCATTTATTTTTAGTCCAATAACATTGGAGTTTTGTGTATTCCCTTTGTAGAAAATGAAAAAAAAAAAAAAAAAAAAAAAAAGTAATGCAATCATATAAGCATCCTTACTGTTACCTAGGGTACACTACAGTAATACTTATCGTATCATTTACGTTTTTTTATCTATTCGAAAAGTGAGTTATAAATGTCAATAATGCAGGTATATCCCGGCATACAAAGATTAAAGCGCCACACGGTTGAATTTGAGAATGGGAAAGATGAACATTTTGATGCAATAATCTTAGCAACCGGATACAAAAGCAATGTGCCCTCTTGGTTAAAGGTACATATATACTTTGTTCTCTCCCACCCCCTACTTGGGTTTCAATTATGTGCTGAACCAATACAAGTGAAAAAAGGCAAAAAAGGGTATTGAATTCACAGTTTAATTGGGTTGAATTTGTACTTAGGAAAGAGAGATGTTCTCGGAGAAAGATGGTTTACCTAAAAGGCCATTTCCGAATGGTTGGAAGGGAGAATGTGGGCTATATGCCGTGGGGTTCACAAAGCGTGGATTGCTAGGTGCATCCATGGATGCCAAGAGAATTGCTGAGGACATCAAAGAATATGAATTGAAGCTAAACATCATCTGACGCCCATTCCTCCTCGTTAACCTACGATGACGAAAACTATAAACAATTTTTTTTTCCATTCTCCGGGGAAAAAAGAAAAAGAAAAATCAAAAGAAAAAAACATGTCGTTTTTTTTTTTTTTTTTTTTTTTTTTTTTTTTTTTGGTGATAGCAGGAAAAAAAATTTATAGGGTTTGACTGAGTTTCAATCAGCTGGAGATTTTCATCAATGGTGAAATTTTGGTGGTACCAATTTGCACAAAAGAGAAAATATGGGTACCAAACAAATACAAAAATCTTCAAATCACCAATCCCCATACATCTTGTACATTTTTCGATTTTTCTCTAATTAGTTAGGTTTGACTTTTTATTTAGGTCAATTTCTAATTTGCATTTAAAATTTTAGCCTTTTTTTTCTGGGATTTTGAGCGATGGGTTGGCAATATAGAAATCTGATGATTTTGTCATTATTTTCTATTATATTAATTTGATTTTTTTTCTTCTTCTGTCTCTTTGAATTTTTTAAAAAAATATATAATTATTTCTTGAAATTTCTTGGGTCATTGTTAGAATTGTGAGGTTGATGAATTTCCATGTAGGATTTTGGTATTATATTGTATGGAGATGAGTTGATGAAGGAGTATTTAATACGATGGCGAAATTTAGGTACAGAAATTCTCTATGATCACTTGTGCAATCACAATCTTTAATTAGTTTCTGCCAATTTCTGCTGTTTTGAAATCATTTCTTTCCAAGTAGTACTATGGACCACTGATTTCATAAATAGAATGAATGTGCCATTTTGATAACCAAAAAAAATTGAACTTTTTTTTTTTGTTTATTTTTCTTTTTGGATGCTACTGGCTCTATTACATTATAATATAGCTTCGGTCAGGCTCGAACTTACAGCCTTTCAAATAAAAGTCCAACCCGGGTACCATTAGACCACATAATCCTGATTTTTGTTTATTTTTCTTAAAACAATGAATTTATAATTATAATAATTTCGCAAATCATTAATTATCACTTTACGACAATTGCAATCTTTCCTATCACTGCCGCACTTGGCTGCCCCGGCAACAATCCAACACGTCTAATTACCATTGCCGCCGCAATTGCTTAGCTACCCTAAGCAAAAAGACAAATATATTACTACTAGTTTTTTTACGCGCATTGCGCGATTGGAATAATGCCCAATGTTTTTTTAAATAAGTACTTTAAAGTATATAAATGCAAGATTATATTAGAATTATTCATGCATAGATAATTGAATGTTGAATTTGCGTATTTAAATAGGTAATTCTAAGTTTACAAATGTAAGATAATATAGTCAAAATTGATTATAATTTTCAATAAAATAATTGTATAGGTATCATTGAAATCAAATACGTGACATAAGGGTGAGCAAATAAAAATTAAGGCATAAAATATTAAATATATACTAATATTGAAGAGCTAACTGTTGATTGCCAAACAAGGACATTGCGAGGTAGTTTCCCACTTCAATTTGTTGTGTGATTAGAATACTATTTTTGTCAATAAATCCCCCAAGTAGTTAATATGATTGGCTTAATTATATTTTTTATTTGTTTTATTTTTTCAAAACAATTATTATTATTATTATTATTATTATTATTATTATTATTATTATTATTATTATTATTATTATTATTATTATTATTATTATTAAATATATGTATACCCTTAGGTCATTTTACATGTTAATCTAAACAGCTAATTTTTTCAAATATCTGTTTACCAATCGTTGATATAATTCGCTGGTCAAATCCGCTAATATAATTCGCTAACGCTAACTGCTAACTGCTGATTGTCAAACAAGGACATTGCGAGATAGTTCTCACTTTAATTTGTTGTGTGATTTGAATACTCTATTTGTCAACAAATCCTTCCAGTAGTTAATATGATTGGCTTTATTAATTATATATATTTTTTAATTTTTTCATGGTATTAATAAAATACTTGTTAAATAAATATATAGCATTATTTTGTATTATAACTTTTATATTTAATTAAAAAATAGTGCACAATAAAGATAATACACAATGTAGTAAATATAATCAATTGATGAATTTGAATGTAAAGAATTTTTACATTGGAGAAATATAAAGACAATATAACTAATAAAATTATTTCTCTTAATTAATTTATTGATAATGAATAATTTTTTTTAATAAAGACATTGTAGAGATAATGCAGCAAATATAATCAATTGATGAATTTGAATGTAAAGAATTTGTATGGTAGAGAAAAATAAAGACAATATAGGTAATGAAATTATTTATCTTATTTAATTTATTGATAATGAATAATTTGCTTGAATAAAGAAATTGTAGACACATTATTCTAAATTAAAGAAATGCATAGGTATTGTTTTTTGTTGTAGCTACTAAATTATTATTTATGCCAACTTTGATTGGGATGGGGTTCGAACCTAAGACCTTTCTTATTGGAATCAATGAGTAAGTTAACGGTGAACTAACAAAAATTAACGGAAAAGATAATATTTAACGGAAAAGTTAACGGATAATCATATTCATTAAGGATAAATTAGGAAATCTTAAGGAAAAATTAAAATCTGATCAATCTGAGCCATTCATTTGATTAAAAAAATTTGACCGCCATTTTTTCTACCCATTATAGGCCTAACTCTCTTGGGCTCTTATTAGTATAGTAGATATGGTAGAAGTTAGGGTGTGTTTGGTTCGCACATAGGAATCAGAATCAGAATGAGTATCAAATATTTGGTAAGGGTAATAGATTTTGGTGAAACTATTTAACATGTTTGGTAGTAGGGTAGAATGAGAATGGTTACTAATAGTAGTGCTTGAGAATGAATAAGGAAATGAAACCCTTATTTTATTTGGGTGTGGGGTTTTTAGTTGATGGGGTATTCGAAACCCATAGTAGTGTTCTGAAACTTATCAACCGAACAACAACAATCCCTCTCATACTCATTCCTATGGACAAAACCTACCAACCAAACACACTCTTAGTGTAAGATGGTCTCAGGAATCATTTTTCGTGATACGAGTCAGCTCAAGATAAGATGTAATACTTATATAGAAAAATTTAATATTTATATTAAAAATGTAATATTAATCAGTAATAAAGTGTTTGTTAATCACAAAGGTATAATACTTTTGAGTAAAATGTAATACTTTTACATTTTGATTTAAAAGTATTACATTTTTACTCAGAAGTATTACAATTTCCCTTATAACTAACAAACACTTTATTCTTGATTCGTATTATATTTTTGAATATAAGTATTACATTTTCATCGTGATCTGACTCGTCTCACGGATATGAATCCGCGACACAGTCTCATGAGAGTTACCCTTACTATATATGACTGTGTATAAAAGTCACGAGTTGAATTTGTCGCATAGAATCTTTCTAATATAATTTAGTTTTCTTGTGTAGTGTGTAGATTATTACATCGAAACGAGATTTACCTAAGAGTAATGGGCGGATTTCCCCATGGTTCAAAAAAAAAAAAAGAAAAAAAAACTCATTCGTAAGTATAGCACCAAATGCATCTTACACTAGTTAATAAAGTGAGAACTGAAACTCCTTTTTGTGGTGCTGACATATATCTAAGCAATTGGCTATAGCACATTAATGAAAGCAACAAGTAAGTATTATTGGATGGTGTTTGAGATATATGGTATATGTGTTCTCTGTTTTCTTGCTTTATTGCCTAGACATGAAAAAAGGTCATTGATACATCGTTTTAATCATCAAACAAACATTCTTTCCGGTAATAAACTAAAGAACCTTTTAGAAGAAGAAAGAAAATCTGATCCAAATGGTCCCCCGCAAGCCTTCATTTGTAAGGACCATGCCAATTCAATACATATCCTCCTGCCTAACTGGTAATTAGAGCTGCCTTGTAAAATTTTAGGTGAATTGGAGGTTAATTCCATGGAGTGGACCTACATGCATGCCCTTAGTTTGGGGCTAGGTTGTACCAAAATTAAGGAGAAATGGGAAAGAGAACACAAGGAAATGTAAGATATGAAACGTGAAGAAAATGTATTATATATGAATATGATATATATAAAGATGAAGTGGGAATCCGAAAGCTAATTAATAAAATACAGAGTACTAATATGCCCCTCAAGCTTATGGTTCTCTAGAAAGAACATTTAGCTTGTCCCTTAAAAGATTATGTTTAGTGGTGAGTGGTTTTGTGAAGATGTCTACAAGTTGGTCCTTTGTAGAGATAATTCACTTGTAGAACCTTTGATGCTACTTTTATTTGTCACGAACAAAATGATAGTCTATTTCTATATGTTTAGTTTAGACATGAAAAATATGATTTGCACATAAATACATAGCACCAAGATTGTCACACTGCTGTAACTTTTGATCACAAAGCCCAGCAGCCTACACCCACGTCCCGTCCGAGACAGGACTCGGCTACCGCCTCGCCATCAATTAGACTCTGTGACCTCGGCTCTGATACCAATTATTGGATCATAGTGCTGCACTATGCTTATTTCCTTGTGGGTCATTCATCCTGTTACCGTTGTAAGTCAGGCATGCTTAACCACATAGTTCTTTGGCTATCTGGTTGTCATATCTTACTTAAAACCAATTGGTGATAAGTAGGTGGATATTAACCATTTAACCACATCCCTCCATGGTAAACTTCAACGCCACGTCTCAAATCGAGCAGGGACTAAACTCGGACAACACACTCGAAGTTGAACAGGCAATGTGGTCAACTCCAAGAGCTAATAATAACCCCCGGTAATACATCTCAAGAATGAATAGGAACCCATGGAGAAGTATTTGCTGCAAAAGAGAAAAATTAAATTCTCATCAAATCAAAAATGGCATACAATATAAATCTTTCCAGTAGATTCAAACAACGATATCTTTTAAACAAATCTGGGTAACCAAGAAAGACAGATGCGGTAGATCGAAACTCTTTTGTGCATGTTGTAGGGATGAAGATAAGGAAAATATAGGCAACCAAAGACACGAAGGAAGGAATAATAAGAATTTTTCTTTGTTGACAAGAGCATAGGGCTAATAGGCTCATATTGTTTAGGCCAGTAGTAGAAGGCATACGATTAATAAGAAAAATCAATTTCATAGGCATAAGTACAATACCTATGAGAAATAGAGGTTTGGGTAAGCAAAGTGAGACAAATTTTGACAATGTGCCTATGATGTCTTCTACTACACACTCATTTTGTTCATGTGTGTAAGCACAAAATTTGACTTTTAATTATTAGAAAATAAACCCAACGAAAGAAAAGAGCAAAATCAGAGTCGTGTGTACCTCACATTTTCCTTAAAACCGATTCGCTACCTCCCGAGGGTGCTAGTAGCATTGTAACATCAATCTTCCAGGATAAAACAGATTAATACTTAATGTTTGAGTGCTCAAATAAAAATTCCGATGAACATGAACAATAGGTGAAAACTTCGATTCCCATTTTTTTTTTTTTTTT